TATAGGTATGTGCGGCCCCAAAGGGTATGGTTTTTCAGCTGTTTTGGTCATAAATAGGGTATCGATTTTAGCCGATTTTTGCCATTTTGGTCATAAATAGGGTATGCTTTTTGCACTCTAGCCTTGATATGGGTATGTTTTTAAAAAGACGCCACTTTTTCGTCATTATCGAAAAGAAAATCAACAAAAGCCCTTCACAAATTATGTTTACGGTAATTTAACATTGGTCTGAACTAGAGAACTTATGATAACGCAGGTCTGAAACAGGGTTTTGATTTAAGGGTTAGGTCATAAATAGGGTTTCGAATTTTTGGTCAGGTCATGAATAGGGTAGGGAATATCGCAGATTTTGGTCATAAATAGGGTAAGAGTTTTGGGAAGCGGGCCGCAGACTCCAACCCGATTTTTCTGGGAGTAGCCCCTCCCCCGGGGGTACAGATAACCTCTCTTGTTCAAGCAACCTTCTGTTTTAATTTCAAAGGCAAGTTTTGCCCCTCCGTTAGAGCCAAAGAAGAAGTCACTGGCAATCTGAACTCGCGATAAATAATTGCCAGCGAAAAACACGTGAAACATTTGCGTTATAGACCTGTTTCAATGGCCTTCAGTGTAACATACTTGGCTAATCTCCTCTGACGATTGACATCGATGACAAGGCACGAGTCATTTGAAAGAAACTGAGTCAATAAAGGTAAAAGATAACTTTACTTCTCGGAATTGAACTTTTGCAAATGTTCAGTTTAGTTGTCTTAGTTCAGCCACTTTAGGCCCCTACAGTGCGGTTACCGAAGAAAAGAAAGAAAAAATGCCCCCGAGCAGGGGGAGAGGTGTTCGAAAGACGGTGTATTCACTTCGGGTTTCATGCAAAATTGCGTTATACGTGACACCATGACTGAAGGCGTCCGGGTGACCTGGGGCGAATCGAAAGCGAAACTGCCTTGGCACGGCTGACTCCGGAAATATCGCGATAAAGCTTAGGTCCGTGATTCATCGTACTCGTTGACAAAAAGACTGTGAAGTTGCACTGACGCTTTTAGCGTAGATGGCAGACAACGGAGAACAAGGCTGTGGCGGAGTGGATGGAGTTCGTAGTGAGAGTGAGCCGCTTATTCCGCCGCCTTACTTGCTCTTCCGGCAAGGTCGACAGCCACAGAATGCTGGCGGATGGTCCGTATGCTCTAGACTTATTTTGCCTGTTTTCAAGGTTGTGTTCTGTTCACTTGGACTATGGGGACATCAAAAATGGAACTACATTCCGCGTGTCCTATTTGTTATGAGTTGTTTAACTCAAGCCGGTTACCAGATCTCTGTTGACTGGGGCTGCCCATACTTTGACTGCAGCTACTTCAACAAGACACATCATAACAAGACTGAGGAGTTCCCTAAAACAAGAAGAATGTGCTTTACTATGTTTTCTCTAGCAGCTTTCTTCTCATATTCGATTTTCCTTGTTTGTTTAACAGCCTCCAGGAGTACAGTCTCATCCATGATGTCTCCCTGCAAATCAATGGCGGACGTTGTTGACAGGAAAGAGATCACCCTGTTATTTTTTATTTTCATTATCATTATGGCGTCGTTTTTAAGTGGAATGGTCTTGTTGTTCAGCGTTCAGCTTAAAAGTAATGATATTCAAGACAATTTAAAGTCCGCGTACGCTGTTATTGCAGCAGCAGTAGTATTAACGCACTGGGCATCTTTCAACACCTGTCACGTGTTCGCAATCAGTTCTTTATCTCTCGGTAAGTATTCAGTGCTGAAACACTTTTTCTTTGAAAGGGCGAAAGCTTACGTTATCGCATTCATTCTGGAAGCAAACGAAATCCGACAGGTTTCTGAGGAAGCCGTATGACAATTCTATTTAAACTGAAAAGTCCTTTCAAGGTTGGAATGCTGAGCACTTTCAACAAAGCCATATACCGTTTCTTTCAATCTCTTCCTCTGAGCCCGCTACCGTTTTAGTCAGCACCAAAGTGGCGAGAACGAGACCAGACCAGAACTGATCTTTCCTCTGACATGATTACACCCTGTAGCCGGTATAAAGACAAATCAAGAGAAAATCGCAACTAAAAGAAAACAAATGCTCTGGGCAAACTCCAAGTAATATGTGGGATAAACAACAGCTCTCGACCTTAGTTCAGGTAAAAAGAAAGAATGGTGGGCTCTGATATTCTGTACTTGCTGATTAAAACAAATGTGGCTTTGCCACTGAATGGATTAGATTACGCAACAGGAATAGGCTACTGCACCTTCTTCAAAATTTGTGTTCATGACCAGGTGCAATTAAATACAGAAGGAGGTAAGTATGCATCAATTTTCACCGCGTCCCAGTAGGTAGGATTAACACGTTATATTTCATTTTTGAGAATCTCGCAAAAAACCAAGTGAGAGAGCTTCCTGGTAGGGTAAAACAACCCCTGGCTCATTGAAGGATTATATAAAATAACGTGCCAATTACAGTTATAAACCTTGTCAAAAGAGCGCTCATCGCTTTTTTACTTCAGGTACTTTTGCGGAAGATTGCGTCAGGCTCATCCGGGACCTCGATGACGGAAACCTCGATGACGTCATAAGAATTCACGAAAATCTGTGTACAGTTGTTTCTGATACAGTATCAGCTTGCAGCGTGTGGTTTGTGCTGCACTGGTTTACTTTTGGAGCAGGCATGGTCGTAGACGTCATATTAATATCTAAGGAAATCATGANTACAGTATCAGCTTGCAGCGTGTGGTTTGTGCTGCACTGGTTTACTTTTGGAGCAGGCATGGTCGTAGACGTCATATTAATATCTAAGGAAATCATGACGGACCGGGACAGTAATCCTACCCCAGCTGACACCCCAGCTACTTTCAAGATCTCCCTTTATTTAATCTTGGTCGGTGTTCTCTATCTCTTCACACTCCCATGTTTCTACGCTGCCAGGATTACAAGTAAATGCAACGGTAAGAGAAGTTTATAGGGAAAAAAGTATAGATTAAGAGTACAAAACATTGATGAATTGATCACTTACTTGGACGATTAATTTATGCCCTTACAACAGGTCCGACAAAGTTGGCGCAGTGGTGAGAGTGCTCGCCTCTCACCAATGTGGCCTGGGTTCGATTCCGACCCGGAGTGGGCTGAGTTTGTTGTTGGTACTCGCCTTGCCTCGAGGGTTTTTCTCCAGGTTCTCAGGTTTCCCTCCGCCCTATACAAAACAAACACTCCAAATTCCAAATCGACCAGGATAGATCAGAGGACATGCGTGAAAACCAGCTAAAACTGATGTGGCTTTCTCTCTAAATATTTAACAATTATTGGACGAGCAGTGAGCAAAATATCGTGATTCGTCAGTGGAGAGCAGATCAATTATTTGCCGAAGCCGGAAGCTGAGGCAAATAATTGGTCTGCGAGACTCTGACAAATCACGATATTTTGCGATAACCGAGTTCAATAATGGTTTTATAAATCGATCACCAGTTTTGTTTTCTTATTTAAATCACTCTCTGGCAGCTCAGCGGAGCAATCTGCCATTTTTCACCAGAGATCATGGTTACAATTACGCGTGAGCAGAATATTATCTGCAGCAAAACACATTTAGACGGTACTACCTATAAGCAGCCCATTATTTGTGGGCATTTATTTGCAGGCATGTGGTTGGCTCTCGGATAATGAAAAGGAAGAAAATGCATCCAATGATAATGTAATTTATTATTTATTTTACCTAGCTCCCAGAGCACTCTACTGACAGAAACCGTCCGTCCCTCTTAGCAAGTAATCATCCTCTCTTGCTCATAGCCAGTAGTTGTTTGGCGCGAGGAAAAGTGGCTCTGAGACACATGATATTTGATTGGCTAACATTCTTGGACTATGATTTTGACAAATTCAACGGTGGATTCCTTTCCGAAAATATCCACTGACAAGGGAGTATGAAGGGTTTAGGAATATATACCGCTCAACTACAGCACCAATACAGACCACTTAAAAGTTTAACATTACTCGAATATGAGGACAATTTTCAGTGAAGCCTCCCATATTACCGAACAAAGTAGATGTGTCAGTATACTGTCTTTGAAAACTTTTCTCTAGATTAATTTTATCTAAAAGCTTGAATTCGGGTTTTTTTTTTAAACAAATCTAACAACGGTATCTCTGGCACATAGGCTTCTGTAACATTGTGTTATTTTATAGTTTTCCTTTTGTTCGTTTTCTAAGGAATCTACGAGAGAATCAACTGCACGACATCTAATGACTGGAAGGAAGGCCACACGTTCAGGGATCGCCGTAACATCGCTCTGTTCGTTTCCTACGCTAAGGACACGGGTTGTGGGTTCAAAGTTGGCAGGATCACGTTTAACACTTCTTTAGCCTGGCTTTCCTTTTTCTTCGCATTAACGGCTTTGCTATTTCATTTTTTCTAACCTCCGTCTTACAGGAAAAGCACTCACACAGTTTACCTCTGTTAGCTATGTTTGACAACACGTAAGTGACGCCCTGGCTTTAACAAAACGATCTGATTCGAAGACTGTTTTAATTTTTTTTTTTCCATAAAGTTATTTTGTTTGCCAGAAAATTCTAAAAATCCACCGGAAGTTATGCGCAGTTTTTTGGTATGTATATTGTGTTCAGTTGTAAATAAAAAAATAAAAAAATAAAAAAAATGACGGAGCTAAAATTATCCGCACATCAATAAGTTAGTTAATAATCTGCTAGCAGCTTGTTAAAAATGTAATTAATTGACTGTTACAGGATTGCTTATTTCCCTTGTTATAAGTAAGAGTTAGTGGAAAGTTTGGAGAGCACGAGAGAAGCGTAAGAGTTGCTCGGGACGCAGCCAAGAGCAACTATAGCATTTACGATAGCTTCTCTCATGCTCTTCAATCTTTCAAGTTGATTAGTTGGTTTAAACATGAAATGAACTGATGACCAAAGACATTCCAATACCTTTTGGCTAGGATAGTAAGCTGGTAAAAAGTGCGAAAGGAACGGTTTGTAAGAAAGAACTGATACGTCCATAAAACAATCGTACAGGTACCTTTTACGGATTGCTTTCAAAATTTCCGACGATTGTTTAACGGTAAGTCACCCCGGGATACAATGTATGTTACGTTCTCTCAGTGCTCAATATCTATATAGCAGATTTCTACTCGGTGAATATTCCTGTGACGTTTTTAGCAATTTTAGGTCTTGGGTTCTTTTATTGTCAAGTGGAGGCGGCGGTGGTCTCGAATTCAACTCCTCCACGTCTTGTAAATAGCCGGCAACTGGTCTGCCTCCCACTAGTTTTTAACACGTTTCTGTTTATTTACAATACATTTGTTTTGTTTATCTAGAAGGGCCACAATGTAAACTACTGAGAAACCAGTAATTGTGTTTACCCTATAAAGTTATCAGTTTATTTATCTATTTTTATTATTATTATTTCACGGTCCAATTATCACCTAGCGTGACCTGACTATTGAGCGGTTTTCAACATTGAGTGTAAAAAGTTATCAAGCAATTACTTTGGTTTTGGTTTTGGTTTTGGTTTTACTGCGCTTTGAGATTGGCCGAGTAGTCTAAATTGCTAAGTGACCGTTTTGGTTCTCAATTGAAGATTGCTCTAGTCATAAATAGGCTAAACGCCTCACACTCTGGAACTTCCAGTGTTGCGTGTTTAATAATAGTTGCGTCACACATTTTCAGGGAATTTTTAAATTTACCCTCTAACCGGTTTCACAAGATAGTTTGCGATAATGTTCACTAAAAAGGGGTAACGTCACGACTCTCTTTACGTTACAATTTCCTTTTCGGATAGCCCTTAGAATGCATGCGTGATCTATCACGTTATTATACGCCGTTTGAAAACGAAACGCAGGTTCCGGGAATATTAAGAATCACGATTTATACTTCCACCGAATGACTTAAACGCTGAAAGGATATGAACATCGACACCATTTTGTCCAAAATGGAAGACCAAAGGTTTGATGAACTGAGTGAAACTCAGAATGAAACAGAACCACTTCTTCGGCCCGAGTCATCAGCAACTTACTTACACTTCCGGCCTGGCAGAGAACCACAGCAGGCTAATAGATTCACTGCATTCGTCCTGTCTGTTTTTAAAGTTACCTTCTGCTCGCTTGGATTGTGGGGACATCAAACATGGAACTACATTCCTCGCGTTCTATTCAGCGCAATTTGTATTTTTCCCACCGTTTTTTGGATCTTCAA